TAGAGGGTGACTGGGGAGATAAAGCTGAAGGGACGGATTCAGGAAAGAAAGTGATGTTAACGTGGTGAGTCGAGAACAGGTGGCTCTAGTGGGAGCTGTCTGTAAGGAGCAAGAGGAAAGGGGACGATTCCAGATGTCTAAACACATCTGGGAGGATGGGAACCTGCCAGCAGACAACTACCATGTTTGGAAAACTCAGGTGTTTTACATATTTTGTTTCCAATCTTTGTCACATCCCTTCATGGGAGGTATTGTTATTCCCATTTTGCAGATGAGGAAATAGACTCAGTGAGGTTACACAACTTGCCCACAAGATTACACAGCTCTAAAGTGCCAGGGAGAGGAAACTGCGTCTTCCAATGTTTCCCTCCTTCGGGCAAGGGTCCTTTAGCAAGGTCGGAATGTTTCACTCGGGGAAGGAGTTCAGTGGTGAAATCCTGGGGATCACCTAAAAGGGGAGAAGAAGAAAGGCTTTGGGCGGGGGCCTTTCTCAGCCCTTCTTGGTCATTCATTACTCCATAAGTTGCCTCTTTTCACCACTTGCAAGATCCTCCCACGTTTTGGAACTCACTCTATTGCCCTCTGTCTACACCTTGACTCAGAATTCCTCAGACACATTTGGTAGCAAATCCTTTCTTTTAAAACTGGGCACTTAAATTATATAATAACATTAATATTGTATTTGCTTATAAGTGTGATATATGTGCATTATGGAAGTTTGGAATAAAATGTAAATAAAAATCACTCATTAGCCCGTGAAGAAGATGAAATGTAACAACCAAATGAGAATCTTTGATTAAGATCCAAGTGATAATAGCGTTATGTGTTCATCTGTGCCTGTATGTGTGCACACGCCGCATTTGCCTGCTGGTCTGAACGTCTAGAAGAACTGCAGGATTTGTGGATTGTATAAAGATTATGCAGGCCCATCAAAGAGAGCTTTTGTTTGTATGCAACTCGTGTGAAAGTAAATACGCCGTAACTGCTGTGTATGGTGCAAGGAAGAAAACCTGAAATGATGGCTATCGGCCAACATACAGATCACGCCCCGCTGTCTTACATTTTCTCCGCATTGCTTTTTAAAACATTTTTCATATTACATGCCCCATCTCCTATCACATTAACCCAAATACAAATGTCATTATCCATTCAGTTCGACAGACAGCAGGCAGAGTATAGCAGAAAATTAGTTACATCAGCCGGCAACAAAGCATGCTGGCTGAAAGTACGCAGCAGCGGCGATG